TGTGGACCAACCTTGACCTGGTGGAAGAAGTCCGGGACCTAGCCTATATCTAGACCGCAACCTACCAACAGTGAGTAGGTCGGTACTATAACGCCCGAGTCAAGCGACACCACTTCCGAGTTGGTTACTTTGTACTTCAAAAAGTTATGGTACCTGAACCTAGTGTAGGTAAGCTAGGGCTGAATTAGGAAGGTCCCTATAGAGTATTAAGGGTGATCAGTGAAGGAATGTATAAGTTTGAGACGTTGGAGGGGAGGCAGGTGTCCTGTACCTAGAACGTGGATAATTTAAGGAGGTACCTATGAGCTCGAGAGTCTAGCGTCTGCAACTTCACAAATTTCTTAAAAATTTCACTAAGTATAAAAGACCATTCGCCTCAACAACTTGGTCGAGCTGACTTGCATTATGGAGCACGTCGGCTAAATTACACCTCAAAGGGAACGCCAAGTCGCTTTTATCCTAAAGGCCCCTTATGTCGGCCTGCAATGACATTGGCAATCCCATACTATGCCAAGTCGCTTAGGTACATAGGTAGTTCGGGTTTTATATCCCATACTATGCCTAATCGTTTCGGCACATAGGCACATCTAGTTAATCCCATACTTAGTTTATTTTTGTAGTTTCTAGTGTAAAGAAGAAAGAACACGAAGTGTTCAAAAAATTTTTACTTCATTGAAGATAAACAGTGATTACATTATCATCAAAGAGAGAGAGAGAGAGAGTTCTATCAGATTGAGCTCAGAGGTTCAACACTTTACATGTTTACAAGGGGGGGGGGGTCCAAGAAAAGAGGCAAAGATAAAAAAGACATTTTGGGATCCTTGTCCCCATCTCCAACCACTGTGGCATCTTTGTTAGCAGCATCCTCAGCATCCTTAGCATTCTCTCCGGTAGCATACTCATTAGCTCAAACCTCAGCTCCCTCGCCGACCCCATCTTCATTTTCCTCAGAATCTGGCTCCAGATCGACCTAATTTGTCATCTCGTTGGTATAGGCCACTCAGATTGCTTAATGAGGSAGTGGATCATGGTGTTTGTTTACAAATGAAAGAAGAAGATAAGCAAAAAAAAAAAAAAAACCTCAGTTTAGGAATAGTATAATGAGGAAGTTGGAAACTTACCATCATGACGAAACGCATAGCTTTAGCGTCGAGCTCACCAAACCACATCTCGAAAAGGTCGAAAACCTTCTTTGGGAAGATGGCCTCCTTGATCTTGATTAAGGCGGTCCTGAAGTCCATGATAGTCCGCCTTTCCTTAGTGGTGTCCTCAGATGATGGAGCCTTGGGTTGTAGATGGCGCACCTCGGACGTTTGGGCCACCTTAGTCTCCTACGAGGGCCTCTCCGCTTGGTCTTCCCTGAACAGGTCGACCACTAGGACTGCCTTGGCAACAACCAGTGCAATGGGCTCAAGAGATGATGCTCGAGGTGCATCCTTATGGGATACCTATTTCTTCTTCCTCTTCCAAATGCTTTGAAGGAACCCCAAAGTTGGAAAGCCCGACATGTCTCCTACATAAGAAGCTCAAGAGTTGGTCAAGTTAACATGAAGTAAAGAAAAACAACACCCAAACCTGAGATGACAACCTACCCGTAGGACTCAGCCCGGCTTGGATTAGCTTCTCCTCAACCAAGAAGTCGTTTAGATTTACCTAGCGGTCTACTAGATTCCGCATTCTGGCCTGCACTTGCTCGTTCAATTCCTCCCTGACGTCCTTCACTCCCTCTCTCCAGTGCATTAGGAAGGGTCACCCACTAGTAGGAATGTCAACGGGGCGGGGTGGGGACGGGGAGCCTCTCACTATCCCCATCCCCATCCCCGCTAATGGGGACAAGGTTATCCCCATCCCCGTGATTTTTTATAATGTCAGCCATTTTGTTTTTGTTTTTTATTTTATTTAAAAAAATAAAAGTAAAATAATTAAAAATTACATTGATATTAAAAAAATATTTAAACATATTCGACCATATTATTTTTAAAAATATTAATATATAGGCACATGTATAGATATATACATATATAAATGTATGTGTACATATATGCATATATTAGCAAGGATACCACAAGGCGAGGATTGGGGTCCCTATGGGGTGGGGAGTGCTCTCCTCGTCCTCATGGGGGAAAATTGTCCCCATCCCCACTCTATTGGGGGCAGACCCCTATAGGGATTGGGGAAATGGGGAAAATTGTCATCCCTACCCACCAGACAATGTGAGGAAAAAATATTTACTCTTCCAAACTGGGACTTTGGAAGGAAAGCCTTGTAGAAGCTTGTACCCGGGCTGATAAGATAGGTAGTAACTAACCTTGCTCGGGGTGCTAATAGGGTTTTGTTTGATTTGGTAAAGGCCGACAAAGGTTTTGATGTCTTGAGGAAGGCCGTTGTGAAAGAAAAGGGAAATTGTACCTACTAGGGTACGAATGGAGTTTGGGTGCAATTAATCAAGGCTGACATCGTAGTACTTCAAGACGTTGGGAATGAAGGGGTGGAGCGGAAATTGGAAACTTGCCTTCAGAGCCTCCTCAAAGACGACCACCTCATCCTTGTTGTGGTCCCAAGGAATGCCCTAGTAGGGAGTAACCGTAGTGGTTGGGGAACCTATACCTAGCTGCGAGACTGTGAATCTCCTTGGTAGACAACTTAGTAGGACTGAAGTGGTCTGACATTCTGGCCCTAGGTGGCCGACGGGAAGACGAATGGAAATCACAAGGAAAGAAAAGAAAAGGAGGACGACTCACCTAACGGAAGAAACAATCGACACCGCTGACCAGACCGAAGACATTGACGACAATGTGCTCTGCGACCTCAAAACGCACCAAATCTTAGAAAGGGGCGAAGGAAATAGGTCCCCAAGGGCCCTATTTATAGCCGCATTAACCGACCATAGACGGTCTAGATTGAATAGATCCGACATCTCCCAGGGGTGCGATTGTTCTTATTCCAATGCAGAAATCAATTGAGTGCATTTTTGACGTCTACGAAGCTTAATGTTCGCGTGACGTCCATTCGTGCCTGAGACGCGACATTGCACCCTAAGGTCGAGCTAGTTGAGTCAATTAGGTTTGAACTGTTGGTTGGACTATGGCTGAACCAAAGACCGGGCCAAATCCATTCAGCTTGATGAGATTTTTTCCCTTAGTTGACTACGTCGGGCTCTGGAGTGGGGGCAATTGATGAGGGATAACCTGGCCCATCCAATGATGCGATAACACGTGGAGTGACGGAATAATATGGCGAAACTTCAGCGACCTCAGACACCTCAACGGTCCTAGTCACCTCGGGCACCTTGAGTTACCCAACTAGACCAAGGCCCAAGCAACTCACTACACCCACCGACTTGCCGAGGTGCCATGTAGCCTCCTTCTAGAAGCAGGTTGGTTGTCTCCGATCTCCTCAGGATCACGTCATACGTCAATGGATTTTATCTTCTTGMCACCCAAATCAAACGGACCTGGATAAGCCTTATTAGCTTACTAAGAGTCCATCTTCAGGTGCGAAGCTAACTCCAGGTTAGACAGGCCGGTGATCTCAAGCATGCGTTGTGTGGCACATGACAACTTGCCTATATAAAGGCTTCGCCTCCGATCTCACAAGGTATGCACAATTTATCTCTCGCATCCTCTTACTTTCAAATTTATCAGCTATCTCAAAACTTCCATCGCTAACTTAAGCATYGAAGTGCCCACGCTGAGTAAAACACCCCGGAACTCTCTGATACTATCTTCTTGTAGTTTGACCAAGCGACATCTCTAGCCCGACATCCGAGCTGTACTCCAGCAGGGAACAACTAGATCGTGCATCATCATGTGCTCTTCTGAAGGTGAAAGTTGCGGCGCCACACCTCACATAGAAGCTTTTTGTACCTTTTCCCATTGGCGTGGTTGCTCAGAAACCCTAGCTTCGCAAGAGCTTGGAAAATTTGGCTTCATTGCACCTAGATATGGGATTTGAKAGATACTCAAATCATACCCTATTTGGCTTAACCAAAGCGACACATCTAAGAGATACCCGACGATTTTCGATGAGGGTAGTGAATGGCTCATTTGAGCAAAATGCGAAAAAAAAGCATGGGTTTACCTGTGTCAGTGCCAAATCGTCTAACAATGGAGTTGATGTTTCTGGTGGAGGAACCAAAGTAGACGACTAAAAATGAGGGAGAAATGCAGTCTGGTGGAGAGGTGCGGCGGAGGGCTGAGTTCGAATAGGGTTGGAAGTTATAACAAGGGTAAGTTGGGTATTTTTGGAAGTTATAAGAGTCATGAGATGCACATTTGAATGGCTTATGACGGAACATTAACGGTAAGGGAAGTATTAGTCAATTGTAAAAAACAATAAGAGCAGCGTTAGTCAAATTTCAAATAGTAAGGGTACACTTAGTCAATTAGCTAAACCATAAGGGTAGTTTAAGAAATTTACCCTTTATAAAAATATTAAACATTGCAATTTGGGACGCATAGATCCCGAAAAGTTACATAAAATAAAAAAATGACACCCCAATGGACATCAGAGTGCAGAGTTATGGCCTTCAAAAGTTTGCATACATTGAGTGTGCAAAACTGGTGACCGGGATGAATGGATTGACAACTGAATTGAACGGGTCAAATAATTCTTGACCAAATCAGCAGGTTTTGAGAGTCTGATGAGTTTTGACTGAACCGGACTTGGAATCTTGATCCGGTGACAATTCGATTGGTGTGGTCAAAGGCAGGTTGAAAACACTCCTTAATTGCGTTGATTAGAAGATAAATAATATAAAAATAACAACTAAGTAACCGTGTTAATTAATGAATACTTGATAGAAAAATAATTATATTAACTAATAAAAAATTGACAGAATTCCAAAAATACAATAATTACTTGTTGATTGAGTGATTCCTTCAATTTTTTATTTGTTAATATAATTCTTGAAGGAATTACTTTCCCTCTGGTGTAACGGGAAAGTCTATATTTGTTAATAGAAAAGTAACCGTGTATCGCACGGGGCCCCGCTGGTGTTCTTGATAAATTAGAAGCCTCGCTTTCCCTCTCGATTCTCGACGCTCTCGTTCCATTCCATTCCATTCCATTCCATATGGTGTACCCTCTTTCTCCCGGGAAAGACGAAAAGCACGGAGAAAGAGGAAGCGGAGATACAACGTCGACAAAGAGAAGGAGGCGGCTGCAAAAGCAATTGTTTTTGCTAGTCATTTGAAGGATCGATCGGGATTTCCCGAATTTTTATCTGCACATTATCGAAATGGCTCTTCTCGGATCCATCATCCCAAGTGAGGTCAGAATTTTATTTTATTTTTTTAAATTTTCGAATTCATTCCTCTTTCTGCCTCATTTTCACATATTTTTTGGATAGGGGCTGAATTCGAATATCCTTGTTTTTCTCTTTTTCACCTTTTGCATTGCAACTCAACTAGGTTTATCATATAATTTTCACGAATTATCGATGGTCTAATCGTGAAGTTTTAATATTTTATCAGCCGTTTTCTTTTTCCATTTGCTTTTTTGATGATTTATTTGGTAATTATGACTACGTTAATGGCTTGGCCCTGAATCTGAGATATGCTTCTGGTTATACTGGCGAAATCAAATGATTACTTTCACTTTCACATAAAATGATGTTTATTTTGCTCGTACGGACGCACCCACGACTCTATGCGCCTTTTGTGTTTTCCTGGTCTATGTGGATGTAGCATGTAGGTTACACCGCTCTTCTAGGAAGCGTGTTTATAGTTTCCTCAAATGAAAAAAGTTGGTTTGCTCCAACTCCCCAATAAGTCTATTTCAGAGGTAGTATTGCTCCAATGAGCTTTTGGTGAAAGCTTAATATCTGTCGTCATAGAGGTTAGTAGATTGGGAGGCTAATGGCATGAGAAAGTCTTATGCTGAATATTTTGGATTGTAATTGTAGGAGAAAGGGAAAATTAGGAATAACTTGTTATTAACCCCACGGGGCATATTTATTTTTGCAAAGCTTGCATTATGCTCACATCTATTTGGGATGAGATCTGATCCAGGGGAAAGGAAGAAGGTAAATCCCATACGTGCAGTGAGAATAATGGATGGCAAGGGCTTGTGCACTAAAATGTGCGTAGGCTTTTAAAACACTGTTTCATTATTATCTTTAATATTGTTAGTGAGTTTTATGCATATCAAGATACACAACCAGAAAGGTTGAAAATATGTTTTACATGAATACAAACGGAACTGATGTATGATGCTACAGAGGTGAAATGATCTTTACAGATAAGATGAAAAAGTTGGTGTGGCATTATAAAAACAAATATTTATTCATATGATAAAAAAGTTGGCTGAAGTTGTTTCTTGAGCCGATATATAATTAAAAAGCCGCTTTTCTTTCAATATAGAGAAGCAGTTGGGACCTACATTAAGATTAAAAGAAAAACTACTATCAAGGGAGTCTTAGACTCCAATTCTAATCAATATAGAAAGTTCTATAATATGTTTAAAAGCAATGACCTTGTGTTTTTTCTGATATACTTCCTGGTTAATATCATTGATAATCCATATGTAGTATTGAGACTCTCTAGACCAGGACACTAGGATGTAGGTGATAAGGCTTGAGGCTGTTTAGGTTTCTTATATTGCTAATACTTTCTTATGGACATGGGGCCCTAGAACTCAGGCTTCTAACTCCTCTCAAGTAGGGATCTCTAAAAGCCCCTAGTCCATAAATCTGTATTCTCTTGTTTCCTAATTTCTCTTTGATGTTGTTAGTTTACTTTCTGCTTAATGCTTCTCTTCTAGCTGTTTTTTATGGTTCACCTCATTCATATATTATTTTATTAASAAAATTTGCATCTTCTATTCGACTGTCTTGTTTCATGTTGAATATTTGGCTGCTTGAATTTCTTTTTGGGTATTGGAATYCATTTTGCTTTTAGGAGTCCATCATTAGCCATGAAATCAGAAATTATCAAGATTGAATTGGAAGTTGAATATATGAGGTTTTTAACGCCCATTACATGGAATCACTTAAAATTTGTATTTAAGCCAATGACTCCCTTATGCTTGTGTCCTATTGTTAAAGGATTCAATTAATTATGTATTGTCTCACCTTTCCTTAGGTAGGTAATTTTGTAATTATATTTTACAATCCAGGGCTTGGAATGGGATCCTTGTCCTGGTGTGACAGATCTGGTTGGTCTGTTGAGTCCTTGAAGAGTATGTATTTGTGGAAATATCTTTTGGAGGGGCTTGGTGCATGTGGGGCTCTAAATGTTCCAAGCTAGTTGAGTTTATTTATAAGCTTGTCTCCCATGAACCAAGTATTAATTTGATCTCATTTGGGTAAATCAATTTGAGGAGATTGGCTGAGCTCAGCTCTGTTTAAGCTCAACCCTTTTAGATAGGGGTGAGCATTTGGTTAAAAACTGAATCAAATTAACCGAAAATTTAAAAACTGGATTAAAAAAAATTAAAACCGAAGCGAAACTGAATTATAGAAAAACCAAAATAACCAAAACCGAAAWTTTCGGTCCGTTTTTTGGTTAAAACCAAATTTCAATAACATATACTATATTATATATATGTTATAACATTATATATACATATATATATATATATGTCTGTGTGTGTGTTTATATATTATGAAATCAAATTTCATTATATTATATATTATATATTATATAGCAAAATTTGGTTAACGGTTATTTTGGTTAACTGAATTTCTAATTCTAAAACCGGAACTGAAATATTCAAATACTGAAATAACCAAAACCGAAATTTTTGGTGCTCACCCCAACTTTTAGATACTACACTATGTACTATATCATATTAAAGTCATTACCCAATGTTGGCCCTGGATATCTGAGGTCTTGAGAGGATTGGGCTGGATACAGACCTGGCCTTTGCCATGTTTTGCATAAAGTGGCTGTTCTCAGACTCAAACCATCTTCTCTTGCTTGTCAGCCAAAGATTTTACAGTTGCCATTATATCCATTCTATTCCATTATATTGTTTCATGATGAGAGAAAAGTGCTAGACAATCTTTCTTGCCTATGTGAATGGGAAGAAGAATTGGTAGGACACCTATTGATCCATTGCCTTTTTTCCTACAGAGTCTGGTCTCATTTTTTACAATTATTTGGAATGCAGTGGATTCTGCCTAAAGACCTCCATCATCTAATGGCCATTGGTCTTCTAAAAGACTCAGCAAAAGGGGTGCATATCTTTGGTCCTAGGCTTTTACCTTATGCTGGAACATATGGCTTGAAAGGAGTAGGTGTTTTTTGACAGGATTTTGATGTAAGGCATTATAGAAGCTGTGATGTGGCRGGTTGAAAGGCATATCATTAGATGGGCTGGTATTCAGCAGGATTTTGTTGGATCCAAATTTCAAGATGTAAGTAATAACTGGAGTTAAATTATTGGGGACAACAGGCTTATTTTGAGGTCTATGAATATGCAAATAGAGGTATACTTTCAAGGTCAATGAGTTATGTATATATGACAATATCACCCACCCCACATCTCTTATGTTTACATTTAAAAAAAAATGTAAGCCTACACCATTGTCTCTATATTGGGGCTTCAAATGGGCCTAATTTCAAAATATTGACTTAAATAAATGAGCCTGGCTGAGCATAGTCTTGGTATGGCAAAAATGAGCAAATGTCAATCCTGAGCTCAACTATTAGTTCATGAGCCCAAGCCAAGTTGGACTAAGTTCAGCTGCTTTAAACCCTTTGCTTGCAGTCATGTGAGATCTTTGGAAAAAGAAAATTTTGATATCTATTTAAAAGAAGCCACTTCACTACTTAATTTTCTGGGTTCTCTTAGGCTTTAATTTGGCAGTCCTGCATGCAGCTAAGGATTCTACTAACTTCTACCACATGGAGTTTCTAATACTAGTATATTACCATTGGTTTTCAAAGGTGACTAGGCTCTCCAACAGGGTTTTGGTGATAGCTTACCTAGGAAGTACAAYAAACATATTTCTAACTTATTATTATGATCTTTAATACATAAAGGAGTGTATAGATAACATGACATTGTCATGTGTCATCATTGCAAATGTAAGCAGGTTTAAGGATTTGGGTCTGATATTATAAGTGAATGTGTGAATCTATTCAAATTTGCACTACCTTCATCTGTCTGGGAGGCTTGTTTGGGGAAAATAAAAACTTGTGACTTGATTCAGAAGAAAAATAGTGGCAGATTGCATATCTCCCCACATGTTTGTATTTTGTCTCCACGAGGGTGAGTCCACAAAGCATCTCCTCCATTGTTCGGAGATGTGGAGAATTTGGCACTATTTCCTTAATCTGGTTGGATACGGTTGGGCTTCTCCTGAACACATTTTGGAATTTATTTGGCAGTGGCATGAAATAGGTCTTGGTAGGAAAGGGAAAATTTACTGGAGTACTACCATCATGCAGTGATGTGTGGTGTTTGGGAAGAAAGAAATACAGCACATTTTTGAGAACAAGACCAGATCTTTAGTAGATTTGAACATTGATATCTCATATTTCATACTTGTGCAACAATTGGCGATAAATTCCGTGGAATCCAATGGAATCTCAGTGAGTGATTTGCATAGAAATGTGGTTGAGCTTCTTTGTTCTTTCCCATGGAATCTCAATGGAATCTCACTTAAGATCCTTCTACAAGGGAGGAGGTGGAGATGAGATTAAACTTTGATGGAAGTGCAGCCAGAAATCCAGGTGCGGCTGGGATAGGAGGGGTAATCTGGAGGAGAGATGGTAGCATTTGCTGGGTATACAGTGGTCCAATTGGCATTGCTGATTCTATAGGGACTGAGGTTATGGCTGTTTTAACTGGGCTCTGAATAGCAAAAAACCTGGGCATATCTCTCTTAACCATTGAAGGTGATTCTGCAAATACTGTAAAATATTTAGGCGAGAAGGATGGTGATCCATGGAGGCTGGCACATTATTTAGCTGAGGCTATAGACATTATGGGTCTAATGAATGTAAAAATTAATCGGATCCCTAGGGAGTTCAATTCAGTGGCTGATGAGTTAGCAAAATTGGGTGTCCACAAGGAGTCTTTGTATAGTGAAAGGTCCCCGCCTGCAGAGTTTCTTTATTTTGTTGATGTACATCACCTCATGTACTCTGCTTTTAATCTTTAACCTCCAATATAAATACTCTTAGTTATTTTCTTCAAAAGTTGCTGCTTTATTTTGTTGATTATTTATTTTTGTAGAAACAAACTTATGATCTGCTTTCTCCTGTCAACTTATTTTCAACGTTGACCAAGGTTTCCATACAATGCAGGTTGGGTTGCGGTTGCTCCTTTGCCCATTTGGTTCTAATGTTGTTATCCGAACAGCTTGGTGAGCTTCTAGATTTACACTTACCTTAAAGGCCAAATTGTGTATTTTTGCTTTCATATTTTTTTTTCATTTATTTATCACTTTTGGCATGTAGTGGCACAACAACATTGATTAAAGTCATATTTTGTGCATAAACCTGATTGATGAATGTTAATTTGGGCTGATTGAAACTTGTAAAAAAGGGCTCATTGAATTTGGACTAAGAAAGGATCTATTTTCAACATGATGCATCAAAAACTTATAGGCTCCCTACTTGCCTTTTCTGAAATAATATATGCATATATTAACATTTTGTTGTAATGTTCAAAATACTAGCAGCAAGCCTGTGCTGAGCATGGGCAACATGCATTTACAAAACCAACCAGAAAAAAACTGAACTAATAAAAAATTGTTAAAGTTAAACAAAAAATAGAAAAGGAAAGGACCTTCATGTGCTGCAATTACGAGAAAAGGAAAGGACAGAACTGTCATTAAAGAAAAAAAATAGAAAAGAAAAAGCGGACCTTCCCGAATCTCATCCCCTGTATAAAATAAACAGCGACGTGGTGACTCCGCAGTGCAGGTGGTTTCAAAAATGTCAGATGTGCTACCTGTCACATTCACATGCCGACAAATCACCAACTGGCACATTCACTCTTCCCCACTGAACCCTAACCTCCAGCTGGCGATTTGCCAGCATTTCTCTGTGTCCTGTCCTCACCCAATCTGGCACAATGTCAGACGTATGTATCATGTCTGACTTGACAACTACCCTGCACTACATTAAGATATATTGTAAAGGGCGGTTTTTAATGGCAGTTGTAGAAGGGCGGTTTCTCGTGGCACGAACATAAATAATGGGCTTTTTAACGGAAATTATAAAGGGCAGTTACTGTGCAATTCCATTTCTCGCACACTCAGGCATTGACCGTACACTATTTCATTTTAATAGATATAATATAGATATGTAATGAAGTATTCTTAATTGTTTGCTTGTGCAGCTGTACTGTAGGTGTTGTTTTACCTGTATACTCTACATTCAAGGCTATTGAGACGAAAGATCAGAATGAGCGACAAAAGTGGCTGTTATACTGGGCAGGTCAGTAAAATGGGTGGAACTTAATTTTAGAATTTGTAATTTTCTTTCCCGAATTCTCTCTTGCTTCTTGTATTCAGTAAATTGTTAAGGTGATGCTGTTAGGTAGGGGACATCAAGGTTTATAATAATACCTGCTGTCTTAGTTCTATGAACACTTCAAATTGTGCCTATGTGCAGGATTTCTCTAACCTAGTCTTAGCCATTTAATGTCTAGCTATCATTCTCTTTGCCCTTGCTATTGTATTTTGCAATTTATTGAGTAGACAGCTTTTCTACATCATAGTGCCTTCACATCATGGTCTTTATCAGCACATATTTCTGCTTTTATCATTTTTATTTTAATTTGTCAACTACTTGTGTTAGCTAACTGTTGTTGCATAGGCATTGATGGTTGACTATTTAATTGGGGATGACAAAACTATTAGTCCTGCTGAAYTGCCTTGACTAGGCTTTGGGTGTGGTATACATGCCACTGCCAGGTGTTTGTGTGGGTGCAACCGTGCAAGGTGTTAGGTTGTTACCAGGGAAAACTTAGGTGGTGGCATGGGGGCACAGTTGGCACACCTACATAGGATCCTTCTTCATGCATGAGGGGGTTGTCTGCCCTTGTTGATCTCTAGTTTGCCTAACACTTGTGTTTATATAGAGCATACATATAACATGGTTTCTGTCAAACATAATTGGATTCATCGGGATTGAACATTTTTTTTTCTTCAGTCAGGAGTCTGGGTTATCCCTGATTTATATATTATATGGTTACTTCATTGGCTGATGTCACTGAACAGAATGCTGGACCCGTATAAGGTTCTATGAACTGTGGATTGGTATAAACTTTATATGATAACATTGCTCAACAACAACCATTTTGTGGACTATATGGAGGGGTGCATCTGGAGTCTTATGTGATAAGCGAATACCACTTTGGCTAAAAGGGAACTTCCATAAAACAGTTGCAAATCCAGCTATGTTGTATGGAGGAAAGTGTTGGGAGGTTAAGAAACATGTCCAATAAGTGAGTGGCAGAAATGCAAATAATCAGATGGATGAATAGTAAAACTAGGAATGACAGGGTTGGAAATGAAGTCATGAAATGTATAAATAAAAAGAAACAAAGTCATATGAAGGAACCTAGGAGTAGCTCCAATAGGTGATAAAATGAGAGAAAGTAGATGGAGATAGTTTGGTCACATGCATAGAAGACCATCTCCAGCACCTGTTACATGACTGAAAAAGTGATCTGTTACAAGTTGAAGGGGCTAGAAGAGCTAGAGGCAGACTGAAAAGGAATTGGGTGGAAGTAATAATAAATGATTTAAGTGCCTGATTGTCACCTCTGCCTTGTATCTTTTTTCTTTTAATAAAATTTATTTTTCTTAAAAAAAAAGATTTAAGTTCCCATACTTTAATGATGGATATGGCACCAAACAGAACGGAAGTGCAAAACAGTATTCAAGTAGCCAACTCCATATAGTTGGGACATGTCTTAGATGATAATGGTGATGATTGTTAAACAGTGGCCATTTTTTGGACTATATGGATGGAGAGAAATTACAGGATTTTCAACAAGGCTGTACAAGAACATAAGTTGATAAGAATTGTTAGAGCTAGCCGAATAAGGGTAGATTAGTCATTTTATTTCTGTTAAGTTATGTGCTTATGTGGCAGTCTTAATAGTGACTTCCTGTCCCATACTTAAGTGGGGGCAGTTTAGTCTTTGTACCACTAATTAGAGGCTAATCCATATTAAGGGTCGACTGATAGGGTTTATTCTATCATGTTCGACTGTTCTCTACTTCTCTTCATCTTCTTCTTCTTCTTCTTCTTCTTCTTTTCTCCTAGTTCGAACTACTGTAGCTACAGAACAAACATTCCTCTTTTCTCAGTTCGGCTGAACAGCACAAACATGGTATCAGAGCCAGGTTGACAGCAGTCGATTACATCTTCCTCAACATATATTTCTCAGTTCTTTTTTTTTGGTTTTTTTTCTGGTGCGAGAAATCTGGGGTAGAAGACTGCGGCACAACCCAGATTCCTGCGGCAACTTCTAGGGTTCAGAGGTTGGACTTCTGGTGACAGGGAAAGAGAACAACAGTCGAGTGACCAGAAAGAAAGTTTTTTTTTTTTTTCATGTAGAGTGCTGTCACCATGGGTGTGACAGTGGTGGTGGTCTGCATGTTAGCAGTACAGTGGTGGTTGAAGTGGCCGAATGTATGCTAAGGCCAATACTTGGTGATTGCAAGTGTGCTTGTGTGGTAGCTAACGAACTGTAGTGCAGTGGTTGGAACTGTTTTTTTTTGTGTGTGACGGGCATAACGGACTTTGTAGATTGGAATGGCTTTAATGGGAGATGTGAGTGGTGACCAGAAATCGAGTGTCATGATTTCCTCTGATTTTTTAAATGTCCAAATGACCTCCATCAAACTTAATGGTGAGAACT